CGCCGCAGGGCTACCAGAGTCAGAAGACTCCTCAACCGGGACCACCGACGGAAGAGGGGTGACGTGGGACACACCAGAGGGGGCAGGACGGGGAGGGGGAGGCGGAGGGGCAGGGACTACCGGGGAGGGAGTGACTAGGAACAGGGGGGGGGTAACCGGGGGACCGCGGTGGGGGAAGCGACGGTAGTAGGAGACGGACTCGTCAAAGGTGACGTCGCAAGAGTGAAAGAAGCGGTGAGACGGCGGGTGGTAGAAGTGCCAGTCGGACGCGTCAAGGGGAAAACCGAGGAAGACGCAGGGAAGGGTGCGGACAGTGAGCTTGTCCGTGCCGGAGGCACGAACGTGAGCAAGGCAGCCCTAGACGTGGAACGCAGACGCGTCACCAGGAGACCCAGTCCAAAGACGGGTCGGCGAAACCTGCGGCCGCTGGGGGTGCGGCCACAGGTTAAGCTGGTGAGCGGCGTAGCGAACGGCGAACGGCCACAGAAAATGGGGTGCACCGGCATGGATCATGGAGGTGCGAGCCACCTCCATGACCAAACCGATGCGTCGCTCAGCGACCCCATTCTACTGTTGAGAGTCCGGTAGGGTGAACGTCTGGGTGATGCCCTCCGCACGACAAAAGCGACCAAGGACACCGGAGGCAAACTCGCCACCCCGGTCGGAGTGAAGACGCAAGACAGGGAGACCTCGGTGGACACGGGCAGAGATAAGCCAGGGGATGAGAGCGTCAGGCCCGTCGGCCTTCCGCTCCAGGGGAAAGACCGAGGTGTAGCGAGTGAAGTCGTCGACAAGCACAAGGAAGTAGCGCTCTCGACACGGCCCATGGACGGGGGCGGGGCCCCAGACATCCATGTGCAGGGTCTGCAGCGGCGCGGCGGTAGGGGGAAACGAGGAGGAGTGAGGGGCACGGCGAAGCCGACCCTCGACGCAAGGCGTGCAAGGTGGGGCTGGGGAGGAGGGAAAAGCGGGGAGAGAACTAGGGAGACCAAGGACGAGACCGTGCTGGGACATGTGACGCAGACGCGGGAGCGCAGGGTGACCTAAGCGGTGGTGCCAGAGGAGAGTCGGGTGAGTGAGGGACCGACAGGAGCAGGCAGCAGCAACCTGGGTAGACGCTGCCACCTAGGGGGACGGCCTAGCCAGGGAAGTCACGGTGTCAAGTGTGAACAGGCCTGACACCGGGTCCTGGGGGAACGTGGTAAGGGGGGCACCAGTGGCGGCCTCGGTACAGACAGCATACCGCTCGTGACCAGGGAACGTAGTGGTGACGCCAAGGTCCTGGAGGCAGCCAACACCAACTACGTTCCTGGAGAACGAGGGGATATGCAGACCTGTGAGAGAGCCCGAAGGAACCGCCGGACAGGGAAGGGACGTGGAACTGCGGGCGACTACCGGGCCACCTGAGGGGTCAGCAAGAGAAACTGCAGCAGGAAAAGGAAGCGGCGTCAGCGTAGTGGAGTCGCGGAAGAAACACCGAGAAGCGCCAGAGTCCAAGGTGAAGGAAAGCGCAGCAGTGGCGCCTGGCGGCGGAGAAGCGATGGAAGCACCGAGGCTAAACAAAGCAGGTGATCCTACGCCTGACGCAGCAGGGGAGTCTACGCTAGACACACCTACACTAGGCAACACGGGGTAATAAGAAGGAAGCACACTAGAGTCATCAGCATACATCACATCCAGGGCGGCTACAATGGCATCCATGTCCAAGTCAAAAATCTGAATACTACGCCTAAGCAAACTGTGCCAGTCCGGGAGGTTTGGCGACGAGCCGAAGCGCTGACGAAACAGCTCGTCCTGGCGACGAAAACAGCGAGGAGTGGAGTGACCGATCTTACCGCAAACGAAGCCGCGGCGAGGACCGGTCTGGATCTGGTACTGACAACGCACGCCCCCGGAACCACCACTCGGCACACCACCACGCGCCCGACCACCGCCAGCGCCGGGCCACCCGGGCGGGAGGACACTCGTCTGCCTCGGCTGCGGAGGCTGCTGCGGCTGCTGCGAAGGCTGCGGCTGCTGCGACTGCGGCGGCTGCTGCTGCTGCGACTGCAGGGGCAGCAGCTCAGCTGGACTGGGCAGGGTCCCCTCGTCCGCTCCAGCACCAGACGACCCGACTCCACCACCACCCCCTCCCGCACCCCCGCCTCCTCCGCCGCGCCCAACCTTGGGGCGGCGGCCCTTCTCCGAACGAAACTGCGCTGCAGCAGCAGTCTCAGCCACAGCGGCAGAGCCATCGGAGAAGGTACACTGAGCGGGGGCACAACCCTGAAAGATAGGGACCGGCACGGTACCGCTCGCCTGGGCGATGGAGCGGTGGCGGGTCTCAATCACAGTCAGGGTGTCGACAAAGTCAGTGAGGGTGAGGTCTGCGGGGTGAATTTTAAGGAAGCGGTCGCGGGCGACAGCAAGGCGGTCAGGGAGGCGGGTGGCAAGCAGGTAAAGGGTAGAGGTAATGGGCGGCTGGTGGGCGCTAAGCTGTGCGTCAGTGCAGGCAGCGCGCCAGGTCTCATCTATCGAGCGCAGGTGGGCAGCGAGGTCAGAGACAGTGGGGAAAGATGCAAGGTCAGGAAAGAGCATCGGGAGGATCAGGCGGCCCACCGAGGCAGCCGGAGGGGTGGAATAGCACTTGATGACAGCATCTAAGTATGCCTGAGCAGTAGTGAGGGACCTAAAGTGAGGGCGCTCAGACGGGGGAAGGGCGTTGCTAATGGCAAGCTGGGCGACAGCATCGCGAGAAAGCCAGACAGAGCGCGCACGGGCAGTGGCAGCAGTAGACTCGCGCTCAGTGGGTGTGGAGTCAGCGGGCAGAATAGCTGGGGGGTCTGGGCAGGGGAGCGTACCGTCAAGGTGTGCGGAAAGCGGTTCACCATCCTGCCGCTGGCCAGTGAGTTGGCGCCGGAGGTCGGCAAGCCACGCCTCGAACTCCAGAGGCTGGCCTTCGGCGTCGAAGCGAAGCTCCGCCGCCATCAGGGGCAGTGCAGGACGGGACAGTACAGTGCAAAGCAGAGCAGTGCAGGGCGGTGCAGTGCGGGGCAGGGCAGTGTAGTGCGGAGCAGGGCAGTGCAGGGAGGGGGGGGGGGAACCGTACCAGTGAGGATGAATGGGCCGGGGCAGGGAGGAGCACAGGGGCCGGGCAGGGTGCAACAGGGCCGGGCGGGTGCGACGGGGCCGGGCCGGTGCGACGGGGCCGGGCCGGTGCGACGGGGCCGGGCCGGTGCGACGGGGCCGAGCGGGCGCGACGGGGCCGAGCGGGCGCGACGGGGCCGGGCGGGTGCGACGGGGCCGGGCGGGGGCGACGGGGCCGGGCCGGTGCGACGGGGCCGGGCGGGTGCGACAGGGCCGGGCCGGTGCGACGGGGCCGGGCGGGCGCGACGGGGCCGGGCGGGGGCGACGGGGCCGGGCGGGTGCGACGGGGCCGGGCCGGTGCGATGGGGCCGGGTGGGCGCGACGAGGCCGGGCAGGTGCAACGGGGCCGGGCAGGCGTGACGGTGGCCCAGGAGGGGCACTACGGGGCTCAGCAGGGGCGCAACGGGGCCGGGCGGGCGCGACAGGGCCGGGCGGCTGCGACGGGGCCGGGCAGGTGCGACGGGGGCCGGGCAGGGGGCGACAGGGCCGGGCGGGGCGCGACGGGGCCTGAAGGCTTGACGGGGCCTAGGAGGGGCGCTACGGGGCCCAGGAGGGGCGTTACGTGGCCCAGGAGGGGCACTACGGGGCCCAGGAGGGGCCCAGGAAGGGCGCAACAGGGCCCAGGAGGGGCGCTACGGGGCCCAGGAGGGGGCGCTACGGGGCCCAGGAGGGGCACTACGGGGCCCAGGAGGGGCGCGACGGGGCCCAGGAGGGGCGCTACGGGGCCCAGGAGGGGCGCTACGGGGCCCAGGAGGGGCACTACGGGGCCCAGGAGGGGCGCGACAGGGCCTAGGAGGGGCGCGACGGGGCCCAGGAGGGGCACTACGGGGCGAGGGGCGCAGCAAGGCCCGGGAGGGTCGCAACGGGGCTAGGGGGTCGCGACGGGGCTAGGGGGGTCGCGACGGGGCCCAGGGGGTCGCAACGGGACTGGGGGGGTCGCAACGGGGCCCAGGAGGGGCGCGGCAGGGCTAGGGGCACGACGGGGCCCAGGGGGGGGGTCGCGACGGGGCTAGGGGGGGGGGAGGGAGGCACGGCGGGGCCTAGCTAGGAGACGAGCGGAAGCGGTAGGTGGGGGGATCCTAACCTACGCGTGATACCATATCAAATTGAGAGAATGTAATGGATGGAGTGGGAGTACAGATAGATATACCTAAGTATTGTACCCTCTAAGAGGTGACCCTATTCAGTCTATGCAAACATAACAAATACACATGTTTGACATCTACTCCGACCTTACGTCCCAAGTTCGTCGGACTTGGCACGCAACCGTGGTGTACCGCAACTCACGCCTTTGCAGGAACCGACGACGGAGCCCTTGAAAATTCTCGGCCATCGCATCACCACGCAGCTGAACCGTCGGATGGTTGATTTCCTCGTACGTTGGCGCGATCGAACGTTTGAAGACGACAGTTGGGTGACGCTCGCTGATATAGAATCACATCCGATTCTAACGGCATATTACCACCGTCGGAATGTCTCCGATGCCCACGGTCTCGTTTAGGAGGGGGGGGTAGTGTAAGGAATTCCCATTCCTTACTGAGTCGTACGCTACCGCGTACACGCGAACACTTCGACTCGTCACGTTTGGCCTACATTTTCGGCCCAACCCTTTCTCGAGTCGCGCCCGATAGCGTCGCCACATTGCCGAACCTACTCACGTCCCGAGGTTATCGCCCTGTTACGTCCACTCCTGTATAACCTTGTGCTTTCATGGCAATAGGGACGTTGTATTCTCATTATAGTACATTGACATCTTCTAAATCATAACAGACAGCTTTTGCTTATCGCATGTGTAGTAACCAGAGTGATACATACGGGATTGTTTCAGGTGATGGGGCCTTATTGCTATCTACATCCGGAGTAGCCAATGTGCTCGTGAGAATAGTTAGGATTTCCGACCTGAGAAAGAATGCAAGCTTATTGAGACCAATAAATGAGGCACAACCTAGCACAATCAGCAGCACTGCTGCTGCTGGTTGTGTCTCGCCCTTTCCCTCCCCACGACAGATGTATCACCAGAAGCGTGCCTGCCCTCTCAAAGCAGGCTAGAGCAGACTAGCAGTGCGATCACACTAACGACCTAGTACACGTTGCACAGCCACCTAACCAATGTCAGAGGCGATCACCGTACGATCAGTTTTAGTCTGCCCTTTTTTCTCTCTAGGGTTTCGGCCTGTCAGCTCGCCCCGCATTCTGATAACCGAGTGGATGGACACGAACAGGCTTGTTCCGTTGTCACCCGCCAACTGCCGACCGTTTCGATCATTTCTTCACCTTCATAAGGCGGCACGTGGGTCTCGCCTTGTTTCAAGCCAATCCCAGACTGCTTCGCGTCCCTCCCTTTATTTCGTTGTCAGGCGGCCTCTCATACTCACATCTGGCGTCTGTGCTGTAAGGTCTACTGTTCGACACACAGGGCAGGTGGTCCTGGCGGCGAGAAAACCCAGTCAGCCTGCTTCGTTTCCCTCCACCTTCAATGTCGTCACTTTCTTTTCAGCTGCATCTGGCGCTGCTGCCTCGAGGTCTATGCGGCACACGGGACAGGTGGTCCTGGCGGCGAGCCAGTGGTCGATGCAGCTGACGTGGAACCGATGCGCGCAGGGCGGCAGAGACCGAACCAGCTCCCCCTCGTTAAAGTCACACAGACACACCGTACACTCCGTGCATGCCGATGATCTCCCGTCGAGTTTCAAGCACGTCGCAGCAATGTCTCCCGCAACTCGCGTCCCCGACTGTTCTGATGCCCCCGTCCCAGATTCTCTCTCCTCCGCTGCAGCTGGGGTTGTGCTTCCGCCTCCGCCGCTTCCCACAATTTCAGCGTTCTCTGCGGCAGCACTAAGATGTCTCCCGGCACCAGCAGAAAGAACGCGGTCGGAGGGGGGAAGGCGGTCAGCGGGGAGCGGGTTGTCAGTAGGGGAGAGGCGGTCAGCGGGGGCGCGCCGATACGGTCTGACGGGGAACGTCGCGAGACGCGCCGGGTGCAGCCCGGAGGAGGTAGGGACTGGCACCGATACAGTCACATCCGCTACAGGCTCCTCCTCATAGTCGGCCCCGTCGCTGGTCCTGCCTCGTCGAAGACTGCGGCTGCACGCGTGTGTGCACCGTGGGAGCGCGATAAAACCGCGGAGTTTCAATATAGCGAGCGGCATTGAAGTTTCGGCGAGAGAGAAAGGGGTTGGAAGCTGGCGCGGTAAGCGCGTGGGCAGGAGGCGGTAGTCGTGGGCGCACTGCGCGGATGGTGGCGCACAGAGGGCAGTAGATACTACAGATAGATTGGAACGAAGTACCCAAGGAGCGGATTTCGGAGTCGGCGCGTGCTCACGCAGCGAACGAAGTGCTGTGAGCGTGTGAGTGGACTAGCACCTTTCGTCACAGTAGCAATCCTAGGCACTACTACTTGTAGTAAGTCGAAGGACTTGAAGCGTATGTCTGAGTGACGGGAAACGCATCAAGAAATGTCGCTATGACAAAAGTTCATGTACCTGGCCGTTCTTTTGGAAGAGGATCTGGCTGGCTGCAGTGGCTGGGAGAAACGGGCTGCTCCCTTCGGCCCAAAAGGTCAACGCGAAGTTCCGCGAGAGGTGGGGGAAGGTTCTAGAAGGCGGGTGCAGGGGCGAAGGGTGGGTGAAGTGTAACAGAAGCAAAAGGGCGCGAAATTCTGGCCGTGGCGTGGCGAAACGATTTTTTTAGGTTTGACAATGCAATGCACTGCAGAACTCGTCGACGCGACGCGCAACAAAATTCCCAGACGAATTCATGCAATGCACAAACCTCAGCCCTTGGGGATGGATTTGAGCTGTTGAGTTGCTGAGTCGCGTATGGGATCCTTTTGGGGAGAGGCACCCTGCGTGAAAGAAACCTGTAGGTGATTATGTGGCGGATTGCTGTTCGAGACTACACCCGCTCTACACATCCGCATCATCATCCACGCTGTACAGTATGTTTGTTGATGACGCAGATAAGGAATTGCTGCATGCATTTTGTCTGCCCTAGACTGTCCCGGATGATGATCTGGCGTCCACTTGGCACCATCCGACCTTCCTTGTCGTGTCATCTGTTATTTGGGTCACCGTGACCCGCCTTCGCCGAGTCGCAATGTCGTACAACAGTAATGGCGTGTCGAACGCGTACATTTTCACTCATAAACCCCACCCAACCGTCGTAGATTGTTCCTTACCTTTCTCAGCTGAGAGGCGCCTCGGGGGCATCAAGTGTGCAGCGCAGTTGCTTGCAACAGCGACAGGCAGGCAGGTGCAAGCAGGAGGGACGGAACGGAAATGCACTGGTGCCAGCAATTCAGGAACAAGAAACGCCGAATGCCACCACAGTTCGGAACAGTCTACAACAACACAGCACACAGAGGATTGCGGAACTTGGCGGAAATGACTTGATGGTTGGGTGGCGGCGGCAGCAGCGGCAGGAAGGAGCGGATCGGAGTGAACAACAGAGAAGCATAAGGGCGTGTGCAGCGCGTTCATTTCGCCCCAACATGAATTTTTGACGTTTTATTAACAAGCCGAAATATTGATTCGCCAAGTGTGAATGGGTTGAGGTACACCTACAGTATCAACAGCAAACGCTGGGACACGAGCGGACACGAGCACCGCCTGTGGCTCGATAAATGAGCGGGTGCGCAGCGCGCACATAACAGACTGACACGCGAAAACAGCAGGGTAGCCGAGTTTCGTCCCGGGAAGGAGGCCCCGCCCCCTTTCGCGAACACGCATTACGAACACGCAATTCTTCTTCCGCTTTTTTCGCCGTGCTTCGCAAGCGTCACGAAAGCTTGGCGAATGTAAGCATTCTATTTTTCGCAAGCCAGGATTTGGACGTTTGTGCCGTGTACATAATTTGCGCACGATTTTCATTCGGTTCGGAAACGTTTAGCCCACGTCTGTAGGCACGTTTGGAGGGTGTCCGCCAAAACCGTCAATTTATCGTGCGTGTCCGAATCGACACGAAATTTTGGGTTACCCGGTCAAAATTTTGTACCTGATATGCAAAGTGAATAGTAAACGAACGCGCTGCACACTCCCTAAGGGTGCGTCACATTTTTATGAACTTAGGTTTTGTCGAGCTTATGTTCGAGCAATTGCTTCGCAGAACTTCGCGAAGTGCGAGATAACGAACACCAGAAAGAACATGGGGAGAGTTGGGCTTTAGAGCGTGTCACATTATTTGGGGTGGGAATTTCGAGGCTGTCGCGACAATTTGACGAGCGTCGTGCAAGTGGTTACTTTCGTCGAAAATGTTCGCAAAAATGTAACGCGCCCTAACGCAGGCAGTGCGGTGGAGTTGATGGAGGTTGCGCAGCAATGGGTAGAAGGGGGGGGCATTTCCGCTGGGCGGCTGATGGCAACCCTGTTAGTACCCCTGATGCTGTATTTGTAAGGAATTCCGATTCATTACTGGGGCTCGCCACAACGAATCTATCCCGTCCGCAGGCTCGGCCCTTGGTTCTCGTGCCAACCAGCCCCCGACGACCCTTTCGGCCCCAAACCTCTTCCCGAATCGCCCCAAACCCGTTTTGACCCCGTCACCCTCGGGACTAACCAACCCTTGACTGGTCCAACCCTCGACATTCAATCCTGGTCAATCTCACTATATAAGCCATAGGTCTCATTTGGATAGGACATTCTATAACATTCTGTAATCACGTTCCCCTATAATATTATGCGCTATACTCTGAGTTATAATTCATAATAGCTGGTATCAGAGCTGCGTTCCTGCCCATTAGACTTCCGGTGGAGGAGCAGACCCTATCGGGGAAGTGGGCGGAAAAGATGCTGATGGCGAGCGCACGTCGAGGAAATTAATCACGCAGACGTTGCCGATGCCATCAGATCCTGTCCGATGGATGGATGGGATTAGCCGGTCCTCCCCTTCCCCGGGCGTAGACATAATTATTTTTCGTCGAAGAGTGGGCGACCTTTTCGCCGTATTTTTCGGGTATGTTCGTTAGAGCTTTCGTAATTTTCGGGTGTTCGGACAGAGTGTTTGGATTGGCTTTTGAAAATAGCGAGGAGTCGTCAGGCGGCCGGGAGTCGGTCGTCAGGAGGTGACAAGTGCATGGGAGTCCTCGGGTGGCCTCGTAATGGTCGTCATGAGCGCGCGAACGGGCGAAAATGGCAGGACGCACGGCGATGGGCGTCTGTCGTGCCATGTAGCTGCATGGTCGCTGGCACGATCGCACGAGGATGTGTGGGTGTGCAGTTGTGTGGGAGCAGCTGGGATTAACGACCTCGGCGTTATTCACACGACGACCATCTGGAGGTGATGACGCAGTGCTGGAGTGAGTGTACTCAGCGAGGGCGACTTTCCGCGTGGGGAGGCGTTTTTCGTGGACCAGCGATTACAGTGGCGGAAACAATTGTCCGTATGTTTTGCATTATTTTGGATTTTTTTGCGTTAAAACCAGCGTCTCATAATTCCGGAAACTTTCCAAGTGTTAAACGCTTGGTAACAGGTTACACGGCCGAAACTAGGAGGGGAGGTTAGGGAAAGCCCGTGAGAGGTTGGAAGCAACCAGGGGCGAAAGCGAGTGTAAAATCAGGGGCACCACAGTTCCGTGAAATATGAGACTGCTCAAAACCTGGGAAGTAGCACGCAACTGGTACTGTGGGCCGTTAGATCTGTCCCAATTTCAGATCGGACCGTCTGCCCCCTATGTAGTCGAATCGACGGCTGGTAGCGAAGTAGAAAGTGAGAGCAAAAAAATTGGATTGTCGGCCGTTGGATTTCCAAAGTGTGACTGGCTCGGCGCGGAAAACTTAAGCCGAGCCAACTTTGTTTGAACTAGGATTTCGGTTTGGGAAGTTTGTCGAAACAAAAGGGCCTCGCCACCTAAATTTCATTTTCGCCAATTCTTCAGCACCTCGCTCTCCAATCACCGAGTGTCTTCCCCAACCAAGTGTTAAATAGTTGGAATTATGAGACCCTGGCTTTAAGACCACTATATATTAAGCCTTAATGTTTAATGGTGGTACGATTTGGGTGTGGCACATAGTGGATGTGTTAACAACACAAAAATCCAGAATAGTTCATTGGATCTAACTCAGATACTAGAAGATAAATTAAGCGTGCATCCGGACAAATAGTTCCAAGCAGAGGAAGCAAACTTCAAAACTGCGTTTACAGTACGTAGCTCACCGACCTTTGGCCTTGATCACCACCCGCACCCTCCTAGGCATGTTACCTACGAGGCTAGTACAAACCTCGGCAGGGAACTTCTTGCACTCTTCCTGGGCCCACCATTTCGTATAAGGGGGTGAGCATCAGGAAAATTGCGAAAATTTTGGGCGTAGGCAAGAGTATTGTGGACGATTTTGGATTGAATGGTATCTGTGAGACTAGCCATGCTGAGGTGTGGCCACAGATGCAATTAGTCGGTCGGCCCCATCTTATCACGGATCGTCTTCGTCGTACCATTGTAGGGTAAAGTCACAAATAGAGTGGCCAAATCTAGCGTAGACACCTTGAAACTGAGGATAACGTTGCACGGTTGACTGTGCACCCTTGCACCAATAAAAGCACACTAGGGTCCGTGGGTCTAGTCACGGTGCAACACTCGTAGAAGCCATGACTATTCTGGAAAAATATCAGGTTCTGGCTACAATTCGTGGAGTCGCATGCTGGGTGGACAATTAGTGTTCGAAAGCATGTTATCTGGTTAAATGGGACCAACATCCACTGCTTCAGCTCCAATGGCCGCGCGTTTGCCTGGATTCGTGAAGGCACAACCCTGCAGCACCACCAAATCAAACAGACGGTAAATCGTGGGGACAAGGATCGGTGATGGTGTGGGGATGTGTGACATGTGCGGGGCTGGGGTTCATGTGCAAGATTGACGGGCGCATGGACAGGCCCCTATATGAGGGCATTTTGCATGATGAACTTGAATTGACCCTCCATTTTTTTGAACATTTTCCCCTCTGAGGTCATTTCGGTGCGGACAATGACCCCAAGAATTTGTCATGCCTAGTGCATGAACAACTTGGAGAACATGAGTATGTAGCCTTGGAGTGACCTTCTTTCTCATCAAACCTCAACCTCTGGGCTTACCTGAAAAGGGAGCTGGCCAAGCATAAAAGGCCTTCCTCTGCAATGTTGGAGCTTTAAGACCTGGTCCAGGAAGCATGGGAGAAGATCCATGCAGAGGTTTTCTCTAGCCTCATCAACTACACGCCTAGGAGGGTGTTGGTGGTGATCAAGGCCAATGGTCGGTGGGCTAGGAACTAGAAATGCAGTATTGAAGTTTGCTCTCTCTGCTTGAAACTATTTGTACGGTGTCCGGATGTACGATTTGTACAGTGGCGAAAACAATTGTCTGTATGTTTTGCATAAATTTGGGTTTTTTTGCTTTAAGACCACTATAATTTAAGCCCTAATGTTTAATGGTAGTACGATTTA